TGCAATCAGTAGTTCCAAAGATGCTTCAGGGGAACTGGCATGTCATCATGCATCTTGCTTAACTCACAAGAAAGGACTAAGGGTATTTTGTTAGAAATCCAGTGCAAAAGCCAAGCAGAACATATTGTTCATATCTATAGAAAATAGAAAGCTAGAAACTGGATTATAAACAATAGATTTCTGTGTGTCCACAGAGATCCCATGGTATTAACAAACATTACTTTTTTTTCTTTCTTATGGTTCTTTGTGATTTAGCAACAATGCTTCTTAAAGCTATCCTTTTATCATGGAGACATAATTTAAACAGCGTTCTTATCTAGCCTGCAACACACCATATTTTTCACTTTTCTTCCTACACCCAAAATGTGCTACATATTGAGTTAGCCAACTCGCATGCACCTCTTCCCTTGTCACCTGCTCCAAATCCTACTTGTGTTTCCTAATGAATGTGTAAAACCCAACCATACAAATCACTGAACTCTTTATGCAGTGCATTGAGGCACTCATTTATTATAAAGTGATGGTAGGTAAGTGAAGTGTTTGAAACATGTGGTGCTATCCTCTACCAGATGTTTGGTTGGTTTAAATGCAAATAAAGACCCAAAGGGAAAACAAGACAATGGAATATAATACACTGCTAAGATACAGACTACATTTGTGCACAACCAAACTACCTTGTGGTAGTTTTGACTTTATCTGCTGGAAATGTTTATACTCCCTTCACAGAGCCGAGCAGCAGCTCCTCTGAGTCTGCAGAGGACAAGGCAGAATAGAAGTCAAAGTGATTCACCAAATTTTTCACCCAGTGTCTCTCCACTGATGGCTACCAAAGACCTGACTAAGATTGGTTGAGCCAAGACTAAAAATTGCACTGCAAATTGGGTGAATAGAGGGAGGTAATTTACATGAGTACATAATCTTAGAGGACATAGAAGGAGAAGCCAAAAGATGATACTTCACAGCAATTTTCCATGCAATGGAAAGACAGGATGAGAAGAGGTTTCCTTCATAGCTCTTTTTTTCCTTCTGCAGAAATACTGCCCCATCATCTTAAAGTTTTATAAATGCCCTTCTACCACTTCTGACCTTTATAAACTCTCTCCTTTGATCTCTTCCCCCCCCCCCCCTTATGTATTCACACAAAGTCCTTTGTTTCAGATTTCCCTTCCTTCTCATTTATTCTGTCACCAGATTTCCATTTAACCTCTCTTGTGTCCCCTTCTCTAGTCTGAGACCCTCCATCTGCAAAATCAATTGCACTGATATTGGCTAAATACTTATCAGGAGGTTTACAATTGGCATTGAAGGCATTTGGGGAAGATGTCTGGCTGACAGGAAAATTCAAACCAAAGACACTGAATACCGGGATGCTGCTTCTAAACACACGCAGAAAAACTTGAAACTCAGCCGAGATTATTCCTCTCATTTTTAATGACTGAAAGTTTTATAAGGTAGAAAGTAGGGGATGATTTCCAATAGAAAGAAATGTTTAACACTGCTTCTAACTCTGGGTTTCTGCAGGCAGATCCAGGTAAAGTAAACAAGCTACAAAGATAATTGCTCAAGGGAATAGAAATTTTGTAAAGTTTCCTAATCATTCCTAGCCAGGACACAGTGTAACGGCATTTCAGTTTTATGATACTAGGTCTGCACTTAAAAGATTTCCAACATTAGATGATTTCAGACAGGCAACCACAGAACATTATTCTAATGAGAAGGGGAATTAAATCAGAAGTGCACCACTCCATCCTATGGTCCTAAGATAAAATCCTAAATTCCTGCTGTGACACGGAACTGACTTACATCAATTATAGAAACAAGTAACATTGTGCTGAAAGGACAAGCTCCATCTTAAATGCCTGTTTATTGAGGAAATAATGAAAGAAGTATAGAAGTATATCATTATTTATTTTCCTTTAATTACGAGCATGAAATACAATGCAGTATAATGTTTTGCAAAGGCTTTTTATGGCATCTTGCTAAGGGTAGTATTTTAAACATTCTACAAAGGGTCATACAAATGACCAGAATTATTAAATACAAGGATATGGATAGATATTTAAATATCATTAACTGTGTTTTAGAGAGTAAAGGAGAGATCATGACATATTGACTTAATTCCTGGTGAAAAAAAAATAGAAATCATCTTTAGCCTAAGTTTGCCTTTTAAATTACATGTCCTCTGCAGCACACTGTATTTTTTTGCTCTTGGAGAGGGTGGTTAGGCTACGTAGAATGACGGCTTGTGAAAATCATCCTATTCTGGAACATAAAATGCAGAGGACAAAACAAAAGCCCAGGAACTGAATCACCTGTGAAACAGGGCAGAGCAAAATCACAAAATCAAGCCCCAGCACTATTTTATTTTTATCTGTTTTTTGAGGGAGGATTATTTTGCAGATTTTTATCAAAATACGCATTGACAAATAAAATCCCCCCAAAAAAATAATTTTTGCTAGACATGCTTTCATTATGTAGAAACTCCTTGTTTGTGCTTCAAAAATGCATTAACATGCTGCTAAAACCACAGAAAATAATACAAATTAAAGCAATTGCTGTTTGTGGCTTCCAGAGCCACTGGGCGCTCTGCCCTAGGGGTTTTGCCAGGAAAGGAGTCAGGGTCTTGATTAATTAGGATCTTAGAGGTGAGATGGAGCAAAGACTAAGAGACAAATACATAGGGGTAGGGGTACAATAGGAAAAGAAAATGCAACCACATGGATAACCATCCTTTCTGGATGTCAAAGTATCTCTTTTTGAGTTTCAAAGGGATTGCCAGGTGGAATTGTCTGATCTTTGGCTACCAACTGTGATCTAACACCCCTTGAAGGTGGAGCTCTTATTTGAGCATCTCTTTTCAAAAAAGGGATGTACTTTCTGAAGGCAAAGGAAATGATAAAAGTATTTTGGGTTGAATTTTGCATTAAAGTGAAAAGGGGTTAATTTTGGAAAGAAAAAAAAAAAGAAAAAATGAGTACAATTTCTGTTATATCACTGAGTTTTTATTTGTTGACCAAATGAAAGCTCAGCAGAGAACGCAGGTTAACACAAACATTTCAACCCTTGCTGCCCTTCGGTCATTACTAAAATAAATCATCTCTGCATATATTGAAAAAACAATTTTCATTGTTGTTTCATTAAATCTTGCATTATTACAGCTGCCATGATCCATTTTCATGCTGGGAAGTTGCAACATGACTGTGCTGTGGCCTCCACTGGATGATGCACAGTGCCAGGCACATCCTCCAAAGAGTATATTCTTTATTTGCTAAGAGAAAATATTAGCACAAAAGGACTGAATGAGATACACTCAGTTTGGTTTTCCTAAGCAAAAGGTGTTTGTTGCTTCTACCACTGAGGTTTAAACTCCCTCGAGTGAGTTTTGAAGTGGTCTGCAGGAATTAGCCATCAGATGGAAGGGTTTTCTCTTGAGGTTTTGTTGAAGAGGGGGAACTGAGCTGCAAATCATCCTTTCTTATTCCAAAGTGTGTGAGTATTTCATACTGAGGCAAAGCAATTTTATTTATGCTTACGAAAGGGATGGAGGGTGGGAGGAAGGACAGCACCTTCAAGTGTCTTCATTTTGGCCGTTGCAAGGCACTCTGCACCTGATCACTTCCTCACCTCACGACTTCTCCATTCCACAGGGCTCCTTCCAGCTGCCATTGGGTCCCCACTGGCTCCCTTTCCCCATCTCCAGCCTCTGAGACAGCCAAGCCTGGTTTTGTCTGCAAATCAAGAAAAAAAGGAGTAGGCTTTTACACAGTTTTCACTGAAGTTCTCTTGCTATCTTTCATGGCAACTTGATGAAGGATACGGTTCAAAAATATTCAGTGCATAAATAGGGATCTCAAATCATGTTACACTTTGAAATGACACCTAACACCCTCTGAAAGTTAAATGGATCAGCAGGAATTTTGGTGAAATTTTAAACATTTGACAGGCCAGCCCTAAGTATTACTCTCTTTATTTATGTGGGAAAATGATTCATTTACGGAATCTTGAAGTCTGCAAACATCTTACTGTAGAGCAAACTTTGCTATTCCTTCCTCTGTGCCATTGGTGGTTGTAATTGTGCAGCACCTTAGCAGGTGGCAAATTCATATGCCCGGAAAAAATAAGATAGAAATGAAGACTAATTCATGGTGTCACTAAAGGAAACAGCCCCAGAAACAGCTTGCTAGAGGACGACTGCCATGGACTCTCAGCCTATGTCGTACATATTTCAGATCCATCAATATTTTCCTTTACAGAGGCACCAGCGTGGGAGTACTGAAAGAAAGAGGAAATAAACAGGCTGTGTTAGTTTGTCTGGCTTCCTGGAAAGTGATAAATTGCTCAAATGCTGCTGGGGCCTTTGCTGAACACACAGCCCTGGGGAACCAGCTCAGCCTGTCTCACTGATAGACAGTCTCTCCGTGGGTAGCAGAACAACACTGACACCTATGAGCAAGGTGCCTCAAACTCTTAGGTGTTTTTTTTACTTTATTTTTTATATAATTATGGAGTATTTTATGAGTCTTTTAGTTTTATGTGTTTAAGGTACAATGACCACTTACGTTTTTTACAGCTTTTTCCCAAAACCATGAGCATTATTAAGTCTATACTTTGTAAAAGAGTGAATCACATGAAACTCACATGGCTCCTGGAGGTGACATCTTATCAAAATCACTGAGTGGTTCTGAGATTCATTAGTATTATGATCTTTGACAGGATCAGTCTCCATAAACATACCAGTAAGTATAAGGACAGGTCTACGGTCAAGCAGACTGAACAAGTGACTTGGGCTTGAGCTTGCAGAGGGTTATAAAACAGTTACTGCCTACTCAAAGTTGTGAGTCCTGTGGAAGCTGGGCTGATGGTTGACAGTTGGGCATGAGGCTGCCGTGAGAAAAACTAGTAATTGCCTATGGGTGAATCAGCTCCCAGCTGTGGAGAGCAGCTGACCTTAGCCAGCAGGTCCTCTCCTGAACCCTTCTGAGAAACATCTTCTCTTCTGCTTCTGCTGCTCATTGAAAGCAAACGTCTCTCCCTTTGTTACTTTCTTTTTGCTAATTTGAAGTTCATTTTGGTGTATGTAGAGGAAAGTCTTGTTCCACAACATGAGGTAGATTGAAGATGTGCAGAATAAGTATAGGGGTTTTGTCCTGCTCATCCTAAAAGGAAAACAGAAAAGCTAATAAATCTGTAAAGGAGAGAAGTGGTACTAGTGGGTGTATTTCTGTCAGTATTATGTTGCATGGAGGCTAAAACCGTTTCTATGAGAAATCTTCAGTGCTTTCCTCTTGTAGCAAACAAGCAAAGTGACAGCCTGTGAAACACAAGGTACTGTTTGCTTTAATTAGGGTTTATCTCCCATTATACCTTAGTTGAGAACAAGATGGCATGGGCAGAGATGCAGAGGGTTTCCTCATGTATCTAAAATGAGATTTGTGGTTTTCTTTTTGCTTGCTCTTCCTCACAGATTTTGGATCTATTAAATAGATTCACAAGGCGCTATTAGTGCTCTGCTCTGTGGGCATCTACGAATCCTGCAGCTGCTCCACTAGCTGTACGTTGTCTTTCTCCCAGTTAATCTAAGCTGTGCAGACAAGCCATATCAATCAAACCATGCTCTTAAATTGAGCTGCTTCCAGCCACATGGAAAAGGTAAGGTATCACCATCTTCCTGTAGTAATCAAACCTCCCTTCTAAGGCACAGAGAATAAAACCAAAACCTTTCTGTCTCTTTGCTTGCAAGTCAGCATTTGTTTTCTCAGTTTGGCTACAGCCCAGGCCCTGCTGTCAGTTGAGCTGGCCATGAATCGCGGTTCACACCATCCAACGTGTGGCCCTCTTCTCACATAGGATAACAAGCTGAGGTGAAGACAGCAAGCACCCAAGGGCAGCAGCAGCCTGAGGTGGCTCCTGCTGTGACAGCAAAGGTGAGGGTGTTCCCTTCCATGTCCCCAGCACATGGATGAGTCTCTCTGATATGATCTACACTTCTCGTTACCCAGGGGAAAGGATGGGGTGTGAAACCTGATGGCATCATCCACTCCATGAAATGGTAGCATGGCGATATCCAGGAGCAGGTCAGGCTCCTTGATGGCTGACTGCCACCCAATGCTGCCTTCCCAGACCATCTGTACAAATAGTGGTCATCTGCTTTACCAAGTCACCCCAACACTCGGTTAGGGGGCTTGACTGCTTCAAGAGTGCTCTCCAGACTGTTCAGGACTGCTCCTCCAGTGACACCTGTCTGGGTGTCACTGGAGGGGCAAAAAGACAGGTTTTAGGATGCATTTTTACAGTGCTTCAGAAATGGAAATGGAGGTATCCTCTCTGCATCTAATCCCCTGCATTACCACTTATATCCTCCACAATATCACTTGGTTAGAAAGCTCAGTTCTGTTGCAAACAGGATCTGAAAATAACCCATGTTTTACATTATTTACTTTCTTTTCATTAGAGTTGACCAGAGCATCCTGCTATTTTGACATGCAAACCTATCACCTGCCTTTTAAATTTACCACTCTCCCTGCCCACAAATGCATCTGGCAATTACAAAATCAAGAAAATATACACATACACTTTCTGTTAATTTAATTTTTAATAACATTTTCTGCTCTGATTTTATTTTGTAAGTCTCTATTTACTTTTAATTTGGCATCTGACCAATTGAAATAATGTTCTATTTATGCTTTTCAGCAAATGGTTTTGGCTTTGAATTCTGAGCATTTCATTCATGGCTATTTGTTCTGGTATTTAGCAGCTTGCCTGCTTTGTAACTTCTGAAGGAGAATATTACAAATGTGTGGACATTTATTAGCTCTTGGACTTAAAAAAAAAAAAAATCAAATGAGAGACACATTTTAATATTCAGTTTTTCATTTATCTGAACAGATGGCTTATGAGGGTGCATTGTGGCTGATATACTGAGGAGAATATTTCCTTTACATGATGATCTTCAGGACAGTCTATGTCTGTGTGTGTTTCTTTACATGTTTGTGCGTCTTCAAGATCCGTCACGTCACATATGAGCCTGATACTGGCACAGACATGTCTACCCAGTCTCCTTCTCTAAGTAAATGATGTGATATCCAGCAAGGAAGTTGCAACTGTACACTGAAGAAATTCACAAAAAGCAATAAATGGGAGCATAGAGCAAAAATTACTCAGTGAGATTGCCTGTTCTGAAACTAGATAGACATGTAGGTCCCCTCGGACCTTGGATTATATGTATGTGGGAAACCCAGCACCCTGCTAATTGTGAAACATGCTTTTGTGTAAAAGTGTCTTCATTAACCCCTGGAGCAAGAAAGGAATCAACATGCAGGAAAAGTGTTAGAACTAAAATGTTAGGCCTGAAATATCAGAACTAAAGCTTCCTCTTTTACTCATCTTCAGAAGCATCTTATTCTGATAACATTGCCCCTCAACGTAGGAGAGCTGCAGCTGTAACTCTACTTGAGTAGAGGTTTAGAACTTCCAGAAAGATTTTGGAAAAAGGTACTTGTGAAAAAGTGAAAAAAAAAAAACAAAACAGAAATAAGGACTTCTGAAATTTCATTTGAAAGATTGTTTTGATTTACCACACAAACAGCATGACTCGCTGTGGTGATGATATAAACATATCTTTGCTGTCTTTTAGCTTAACGTCAGAATTGGTCAGTGCTTGTTAATCACATCCTCTCTTTAGACCTGGTGGTGATTTTACTTGGTGTAATTTATAATTTAATGTTTTAAAATCCTCATCCAAGTTTACATGCAAAATTCCTCACTTTAAATCCTTAATTGTCATGTCCTACTGATGAGTGAAGTTGATTACATTGTGTCCTGTGATCTTTAAAAAACAGTTACACTCTCCCTTGTTGTCAAGAGCATTTGACAGTGTTAAGAACTATTATTATAGTCCTCTCTTACTTTTTTGGATTAACTAAACCTCATTCCTATTGCCTTTCCTCATAGGTCATGTTTCCTCTTTCCTTTGGACTTTCTCCATTTTGTCTAAATAGCTGTTAATGTAGGATGTCTAAATTATAACCTACTGCAAGGCCTCATGAGGGCATTCAAATAATTGCATTGTAAGTCTTGCAAATTTCACAGCAGAAAAAAAAAAGGGTCCAGTGAAGGTTACTGACTACAGAGAGACCACCTTCCCTGAGCTTCACGTTTGTGGCAGCCAAAAGCCCGTTTGGAAAGCAGTCCACCATTTTAAAAGCAGTGTGCTACTGAATTCCATTAATCTTGTGGCCTTCAAAGATCCTCAGAGCCTGATCTGCAACCTGGCTGCACAGCCAGCTCCTCCTCACTGCACTTCACTGAGTCTGGCTTTTGTTTTCTCACTGGGACATCTTGCATGTATCTGTCCTGAGTTTAATCTGCTTAATTATAGTCCAGCTCCCTCCTATTTAAACATCATCTACCAAATGCAAAAAAAAATTAGCTGTTTCTTTCCGCAGGGCAATTGTTCCTCTCTCACACATTTGACGTATCTTTTTAAACCTCAGTTGTGCACACAGTGAAGGTCCTAAAAAACAGAGCTTTTCCAACAGGGTCAGTAAATATGCTGTGCAATTAAGATGTGTAAAACAAAGATCTACAGGTCTGGCCATCTGTTTTGACTTGTCTGGCTAGGACAATTGCCCCACAACAAGCCTATGTTTAATGCTTGCATGTGGTCTCTGGTTTGTCAATGCTCATGCCCATCTGTTTGGAGGGCATGGTGCCCATTACATGTTGCTGAGGAACTTGGCATCACTTTGGGCATGGAGAGGCTTGTGCAGGCAGTCCACACAGGCTTGCTGGGTTGCATCTGTTCTTCTGGATTTCCCACTGATGTGTTTTCTGGCTGTGCCAGCACAGCTGCTGCATATCTAATGTTTATCCTCATGCCTTCTAAAAGGCCTGTGCCAAGGAAATCCAACGAGGAACAGGGAGAGACTTGGAAAGCAAGACAGGAGTTTGTGGCAACTGGCTTTCTTGGGCTCTGCTACAGGGAGCTCAGTTGAGTGATTTAAACCCAGAAGCACCCTCCCTAAAAACTCTGCTGCTGTACCAGGCTTGATAGAAGGGTTTGGTGTTGGTAAAGAAGACAGAAGAGGATTCAGAGCTGTCACCCCACAGAGGGAACCTTGTCACTGTGGCAGAGACCCACATAGTCCTGTTTGCTTTATACCTAGAAAGCATGTTCCAAGGGCTTTTCTGCAGATCCAGGCTCTACACTAAGAAAGTTCACTATGAGATTGATCTTTCACGCCTAGATATCACCTGAGTTAGTGCTGGTATATGTGAAAATGTAAGAATGATCATAAGAGATCAGAAAACAGGGCCATCAGACCCAGTATCTTTTCTTTATCCCCATTCCTAGTTGTGAATAAGAACAGTGAATGCTGGATACTGCTGGCCAGAAAGTCCTACCTTCCACTTACCAGCAGCACAGGCATTCCCTGAGCCAGAAGGAATCTTCATATTCTATAGCTCTCAAAGGATTTCTACATGTGAATTCGTACAGTTGCTTTTGAACCTGGGTCGGTCTGAATAACCAGCTTTCCATGGCAAGGAGTCCCATCACTGAATTACATGGTGCCTGAAGAATGACTGCCGCCTACTAATATCCAAGACGGCAGAAAGAATACCTATTTATTCACTTTGTACCTCAGCATCCTTTACATGCCTAAACACCCTACTTGATTCCCAGGGTGCTGGGAGCTTGGCAGTGCCTTAAATATACAGATGCCACAACTCAGAACAGCTTCAGTCCACAAAGGTTATTGCTCTTGCTTGACCTACACCTTGTATGTCCTTGGCTACACAGTGATTCAGCTTTAGAAGGAAGAAGAGCAAAGCTGCTTCCTTCTCTCTGGCCTCAATATCTGTTAACCCAGTGATCAAGCCCAGTTTAGGAAAAATGTGAGTTCAAATTCAGGCAGGGTGAGGGGGAGCTAATGACTCATGTCTTGCAGTTCCTGGGCAGGTCCCTAAGCCATCTGTTGGAAAGTCGGTGACTTTTCTCACTGTTTTCCCCCAGAAAGAGCTGTAAAAGTTGCTTTCCTTCTGCAGTCAACATAAGAGTCTGAAGCTTAACATTATCAACAACTCAGTTAAATGAAAGAATCTCGCCCTGTGCCATAATTAAACTAATAACTGTAGTGATTGATTACTTATATGTCAGTGTTGTTTTGCAGCCCCAGCTGTGCAGCCAGGGAGACAAAAACTTACAAGCACAGAATAAGAAGGCAAAGATCGGTATTAAAAGTTTATAATCACTACTGGTTTTGCTTCCAGAACTTGAAGTTTCCATCTTCAGCTACAGAGCCTTTTCCTGGAGGTTGCTTGTGAGTGTGTTATGAGACATTCCTTGTTCTTGCACCGTAACCCTATAAGAATTGAAGTATTTGCAGAAAATCATACAGGCTAGACAAACTCAGAAATTCACCCCAAATTTGTCTCAAGTTTGAGTCTTGTTATTGTTGTGTCTGCTTGTACCAGAGGAAGCTGCATTAAGTAGAAAAAATAATTTAATTAAGTCATTGCTGATAAAGGAGAGATAGCAAGATAAAAGACTGTTTAGATATGAGATCTTATTAGACACCCTGTTACAGTCCACAGCCTATCTAGGCCAGAGAGGATGTGCATAAACACATGCATAAAAATTACAGCATTTTGACAATCTAGTTATGCTATTTCTCCAAGTAACATGCATTGTCTTAGCTGAAGGTCTCTCTGACTCAGGCATCTGGTGTAGACTTATCACGAAAATTGGATTTGGCCTCAAAGCTGTAGTAACACCTGAAAACTTTGATAAAGATGGTAGAATTTGAAGAAGAGGTGCTGTGGCCACAAGAATGAGAAAGGAAGCTTGTTGAATAGCTGTCACTTTTTTTTAATGGCCTCCTTTGAATGTCTTTGGAGCTGGGAAGCTCAGTCTCTGCTTCTACAG